GTAAACCCTCTTGCCCACTGGTTGTGGGGCCGGCACCCGACACAATTTGCGGTACTGGGGTGCGCCCGGGACACTCACCCTAAAACTATGCCATTCCACAGGGCGACAAGGGGGAGGCAGGTCCCAAGGGTGAAAAGGGTGAGCCTGGAAGCACCCCGCTCTACGGTCCCAGTGTCTCTGGGCTGCCAGGGCCTCCAGGGCCCCAGGGTTACCCTGGGTTGCCAGTAAGTACCCCACGGTGTGGGGGGGCGAGGGGGGCATGTAGGGGGCCAGCATCCCCCGGTGCTTTGCTCCAGGGATGCTCTCTCACACTGCCTAGGGTCCCAAGGGAGACACCATCGTTGGGCCACCAGGGCCTCCTGGACCTCAGGGTCCACCTGGTATTGGATATGAGGGGCGGCAAGGTCCCCCCGGCCCTCCCGGGCCCCCTGGCCCACCCTCCTTCCCAGGCCCTCACAGACAAGGTGAGTACCTGTGCCCCCACATCCCTCCCCATGCTCCATGCCCCATGCCTAGCTCTCACTATCTCACCCTTTTTCCTCCCAGCTGTCAGCATCCCTGGCCCCCCTGGACCACCAGGACCCCCTGGACCACCAGGCACCAGTGGGATGTCCTTGGGGGTGAGCTGGGGCTTTGGGGGAGATGGTTTGCCGGTGGGCTGGCCAGCCAAACCCTGAGCCTCCCACCGGGCTGTGCCCGCAGCTGCGTGCCCTACCGACATACCAGGCCATGCTGGGTGCTGCACATGAGCTGCCTGAGGGCAACCTCGTCTTCCTGACTGACCGGCAAGAGCTCTATGTCCGCCTGCGCGGGGGCTTCCGCCGGGTACTGGTGAGTAGGGGGGTGTAGAGGGGGCATCCCATCTTGTGTTGCACTGCCTGGCTCTGATGGGATGCAGGTGGCATCACCCTGGGATTTCAGTGGCATCTTTGAGGTTGCTTGGGTGTGTCCCCCCGACCCTTGCACAAGAAAGAGAAGAAGGGGGTGGCTGGGATCTGATCTGCCATGTACTTGCAGCTGGAGGAGCACACCCTGATGCCCAGCTCAGCTCTGGTGAGTCCCCTATCCCCCATCCATCCATCCCTCCCCATTCCCATCCCCTTCCATCCATCCATCCCCATCCCCATCCATCTTCATCCATCCATTTCCATTCCCTTCTCCATCCATCCATCCACCTACCCACCCACCCATCCAACCCTATCCCTAACCATCCCCATCTCTGCCCAGGGCAGCACCCACCCTCAGCCTG